TTCTTTGTGTTTGTTTCTATGTATTAGGTATATCTGCTATGTCTCCTAGTCTTGGTAGGGTGACTTTACATAGTAGGTGTCCTGTGGGACCTAGTGGTGTAGTCTCCTTGATTACCTAAGCTGGGTGCCCCAGGAATGTCACTTGTGTGGGTTATATGAGTCCTCCTCTTGCAATTGAGTCCTGATTGCTATTGGCCCATTCATGTGTGGTGTTGACCCTCAGCCTGGCTGACTGTGAGGATCAACTCCAACCACAGGTGGAGGTGCTGACCACACAAAGCGGAATTCTCCTCAGCAAGTTTTGGTGCCTGCCGAGACCTCCCTTTGGATATGCTGCTTGTGAAGCTAATTGGATCTTGCTCTGATGTTTTCTGAAGCTCACCACTGGGTGTGTTGGTTCTAAGGCCTCTTAGAGGGACTGTGGTACAGGCCAATGTCAGACACTGCCTGTGACTGGCCCTGGGCAACCTGTTTGGAACTGCAAAGCAATCTATACTTTGTGGCTGCCTCTGCTGGGCCTTGGTGCAGGTGAGAAGGATCAAGCTCTGTACCAAGGCTGGCTACTACCAGCACTGAGCCTGGGGGCAGGTCACAAAAGGTCCATGGCACCCAGAGATTTGCCTCCACCTGCCTCTTTCTGCTGGTTCAGTCACTGAAAGAGCCTCTGACAGCACTTGAGATACATAAGATAGCTTCTCACTGAGTCATTAGGTAGGGGCAAGTGGTATTCACCAGATAGATACAGGTTCAAACTCGGTGCCAGTGCTGAGTCTGAGGCCACTCAGCAAATGGTATATTAAATCTAGTTGTCACTCACTGGGTGCTCGCACACCTTTGTGGTGGGGTGGGGTCTCAGGTAGTTGTCATGGTCAGGCCAGCAGAGTTTATCAGGCCCAAACAGACCAAGATTTGAAAGCGTGAAGGGAGGGCTCTGCATCGGTTGGGTGAGCAAGGGAAAAATGGTCCTCATCCTAGAACTACGCAACTGAGTCTGTCCCAGATTCTTCCTTGAGCCTGATCTCAGCAGGGTGGGGCCACTGAGAGTTGGGAGGATGGGGCCAGTGGATCTTCTGTGAGGAGGAATTGCTGGTCAGGCTTGAGAGAAGGTGGGAAGAGTGGCCCCTGCCCTAGAGCCACACAAATCAGTCTGTCCCAGACTTGGTCAGACCTTGGCAGGGCAGAGCCACCAGGAGTTGGGAGGGTGGGGCCACTGGAGCCTGGAGAGTGGGGCTAGCAGATCTCCCACAAGGAGGGGGGGAGGGGCACCAATCAGGTTCGCGGGGAAGTGGGTGGAATGAGCCCCCACCCCAAAGCCACACAACTCAGTCACTGACTTCCCCTGAGTCTGCCCAGACCTCTACACCCCACCCCAGGCAGCTGGCTCCTCAGCAGCGTGCAAGCTCCAAAAGGTGGAGCGACAGGGAGTCCAGAGGGTGGGGCTATTGTTTTCCCCGAGCCTGAAGCCTGAAGGAGAGGAGTGCTCCCTCCAGGAAAGATGGCATCTGTGGCGTGGGAGAACTCAGCACAGAGATCCTGGCAGCTGTCCCTAAGCTCCCTCCCCAGAGCCACCAACCCCGGTCTTTCCTAACATGACTCCAGTCCACTCCGCCCTCCCTCCACCAGAGCCCAGGGTAAGTTGCTGCAAATGAAGTTTTGTGTGTTGGCCGTTTAAGAGGGAGCCTGTGCCCTGTCAGTTTGGCTCAGAAGTTAGAGTGTTGGCCTGTGGACCAATGAGTTTCGGGTTTGATTCTGGTCAAGGGCATGTACTTGGGCTGTGGTTCGTCCCTGGCCCTGATCGGGGTCATACGGGAGGCAACCAGTCGATGTGTCTCTCTCACATCAATCTTTCTCTCTCTGTCTCTCTCTCCTTCCCTCCCACTCTATCTGAAGATATAGAGAAAAATATCTTCAGGTGAGGTTTAAAAAAAAAAAGAAGGCACCTGTGTCTCTAGCAGACTCCTTTCTCTTCCTGATAAACTGAATTCCCACTGAATTTCACAGCCAACTGTTACATGTGTGCTTCCTCCCAGCTCTGGTGCTCTGGGCTGGGGAGCCCGGCTTGGGGTTGAGAGCTCATGCTTCTCAGGGGGAACCTTTACAGGCAAGATCTCTCTCCAGACTCTCAGCTGCCAGACCTTTTCGTGTCTGCCTTCCTACCAGTCTCAATGTGGCTTCTTTCTATAAATCTTTGCTTATAAGATTTCTCTTCAGCTAGTCTTCAGTTGGTTATTCTGGCTGATTGCTCTAAAATTTAGTTGTAATTCCAACTTAGTCCCAAGAGGAGGTGAGTGTAACATCCTCCTACTCTGCCACCATCTTGGATAAATATGTCTTTCAAAAGAGAATGCTCTCAAGAGCGCATGCTTAGAAGCCAACCTTAACAACAATTTCTTCTCATCCTTGGGCCCCTTGCTCTCAGTCATTGTTATCTGCTGGTCTCAGTAGCAATAGCTGGTCAGTGCTCTGTAAAATCAGGATCATGGGGAAGGAGTTGGGCTTCACAGGCAGCATCCTGCAGGCGGAAGGGGCCTAGGCCAAGCCCTCTGCTCCTGGCCAACCTGCCTAGTAACCGGGAGGGGTTCTCTTCTCCCGGGAGAGGCCTAGGAGTGAGTTGAAGGAAAAATGTGCATGTCTATCAGTTTGGTGGCTTCAAGTAGCTGTAACTTACGTGTTTGCACCCAGGTTCTCTGCTCAGGGGTAGGAGCACAATGGGAGAACCTCAGAAAGCAGAGCTGGACGGAGAGAGACCAACCTCTGTGGAGACCAACCCCTGAGTGGGCTGAGGGGCGCTCTTAACATGTTTTCTTATGACTTGGGCCATTTCAGCCTATTGATAATTTTTTTTAAGGTGCTGGGGATATTTCAGGAAACAATGTAATGCTCAGAACAAAAATAGAAAATATCCTTATATTCTTATAGGAACTGTTCTTATAGGAACTGTTCATGACTGTTGCCAAGAAATCACGATCAGATAGATGCTATGTGGGCTGGGCCCCTGAGGTTGCTCTCAGAAAGGTCACCAACACACACATTTCCAACACCTCTGCAGAGTGCCCCAAGGGAGAAAGTCGAAGAAATCCAGAACAAACCCCTCAGCTCCTGCGGCAGGAAGGTGATGAGTCACTAGCCGGCCACATGTCTTTCCTCTACCAACAAACCCTCAGGGACGGCCGCATTTCCCTCCCATCAGCCCTGGTGGACGTGCCGAGAGAGGTTGGGTGATCTTTTGCTCTCTGAGCTTCAATTTAAATGAGAGGAAAGTTGTGATACTAAAGATAGGAAGAAGAATATTTTGAGTAAAATTTTGAAGGTGGAGAAAGAGAGATGAGGCCCGGAGGCCTCCGTTAGGGACAGGCTCTGTCATCGGGCACTGTCTGGTCGCATGCTGCCGCCGTGAAGCCCCTGCTCCGTCTGGTCTGCCAGTTCTTTGGGGAGATGTGGAAAGCGTGTTGTTGATACCGACTGGAGAGGAGTGCAGAGGCCTCCTTCAAACAACACAGCCAGAGTCTACCGAGTTCAGGTTGAATTTGGCTATATGTTGAAATATGTTGACGTATCATCTCTCTCTAAAACAAAACAAACAAAAAAGCCACGTCCTTGGCCTCATACTTGTTTATGGTGGATAAGAGGATGTGTGGTTATTTTAAAAATTCATCGAGTCTAGTTGAGGTCCCAGGGAAGGGGGGAGCGGGGAGAGGCTGGACACCGTGTAAACAGGCGAAGAATGGGGTTTTATTTAGAGCACTCTTTGTCAGAAATTTGTATTCTTCTATGAGTAGTGTTTGTATCCTTGAGCCCAGGATAAGGTCAGGGGTGGGGACCAAACAGTTAGATAAGGGAGAACCCAGGACACCTACCCCACCCCTTACACACACACACACACACACACACACACACACTCTAGCTCCATAGACCTGGTTTCTCTCTTGTTGCTATATTTTTGGCAACAATTAGTCCCTTTAAAATTTTTATTTCCCACATACAGAAAAAATAACCCAATAAACATAAAACTCTAATTACTTGTGTCTCTTGGTGTTCATGTCTAATTCTTGTCAATATTCATGTACATAGTCATCAGCATGAATCTACTATTTTGTGTTCTAATTTTTCACTCATTACATTTTTGTCTTTACAGTCCCACATGTGCTAGTTAAGTTTATTCACTAAAAGCCACAAATATATAAAACACATACGTTGACATTTTTATTAGCTACCAGTTCCTAGCTCTCCTTCGACTGTTGTATTTGCAGGGTTGGGATAAATCCCTGCCGTTTTGGATAGGGGTGGCCGTCATCCCCAGATGTCTTTTCCTAGAAAGTTGTGTGTCTGAACTCCCAAACAGCTTCCAGAGCTTGAAAAGATCCGGCCCAGAAGAAATTAAATGAACTGGAGGGTTTTGGTTGCTTACTATTTAATAACAGGTCATAGGTTTAAAGTCCAAAAGGGCTCGAATTTCTACCCCACGTTTGACGTCTCAGACTTCAATCCAGAGGAGAGAGAGTTGAACTGACTTTGCTGCACCCTGGCCCACAGCAGGGATATGAAGGCTCGGGGACCACGGTCCAGCCCTCTCCCCCAGGGTGTGTGGGGACAGAGGCGCCAGCCATACCCGCATCTGTAACTGCCGAGCTCCTTTCTGTGGATCTTCTGGCTTGAATGAGAGGCGCTCCCGCTGCCCACTATTGCAGAGCAACCAGGGGTTAGCGCCAGGAATGCTGGGAGAGCAAGAAGAGTGAACGGTGAGCAGCAGCCCCATGTAAGGCCCAGTGGGACTTGCAGGGATGTGATGGGAATAGAAAGGAGAGCACAGATGGGCCAGACACGGCCAGAAGCAGCTAGAAGCTGCCCAAAGGCTTCTAAGAGCTGGGTGACAGGGAGAGTGAAGGAGTCCTCGGCTCAGGGCTGGGTGCCTCCCAAAGGGCGGCCTTTTCACCTCGATCCTTTGGTCTTTTCCTCTTTAAGTCACATCTGTAGTTTACACAAAATGTACTTTGAGTGTCCAGCTTAAACGAAAGAATTGTCCTTATCTACTTGCAGGCTGAAACGGCCTCTTTATTTGTTATTCTTTCCCCAGCACAGCACCCAGGACCAAGGAAGCACTCTGGGAGCTCTGCTGAAGCAAGCCCTCTTCTTACCTTCTTCTCAGTCCTGGTCAAGTCCAGCGCGAGAGTCCACTCCCAAAGCGAAGCCAGTACTTTGTTCTTAAATAGAGCTTGGGCAGAACCTTGGTGATTTGCTGCGGGTTTTTTTTTTTTTTTAAAGAGCCCCCTCCTTTTTTAAAAATATGTTTTTTTATGTATTTTAGAGAGAGAGGAAGGGAGAGGGAGAGTTAGAGAGAGAAGCATCGATGTGAGAGAGAAACATCTATCAACTGCCTCCCGCATACACCCTAATCAGGGTTCGATCCTGCAACCTGGGCATGTGCCCCGACCAGGAATTGAACCGATGACCTTTCAGTGCATGGGATGATGCTCAACCAACTGAGCCACAACGGCCAGGGCTGCTGCATATTTAAGTTTGTTTTGTTTTTTCTTTTTCAAATTACTTGATTGTGGTTTGATATCTTGTATTGGTTGAAAAATGTAGTTGATTTTATTGACTCTCATATAGCAAATAGGATGTCTCACATTTAACAGATGTACTTGTAATCCCATTAACCCTTGTAGTTTAAGATATATAATGAGTTAATACCAAAGCCAAGTAAAATGCCTAATTTTAGTCTTTCTCTGTGTTTCCTTCTGGCAGAGCTCCCAATCCCACTGACATAAAGCTCTGAGGACCCCCACGGATCATGCACCAAGAATTCAGTTCAGGTGCTTGGCAGACGGGCACCAGTATCTACTAGCCAGCAAGATGGAGACCCTGTCCTTACATTCCCAGAAGGAGCTGACAGTGTGTAAGGCTGAAGACCGCCAGGAAAGTGGAGTTCCACCGAAGGGGGTCCCTGCCCCTGGGGATGAGGTGTCCAGCCAGCTCTCCAACGGGTACTCAGCGGTTCTGAGCCCCAGTGAAGAAGATGACTCTCAGCACTGCATCCCAGCTGCCACCACCGCCCAGGCGGCTGAGGTTCACCAAGGGGAACGAGAGACCTGGGGCAAGAAGATGGACTTCCTCCTGTCGGTCATTGGCTACGCCGTGGACCTGGGCAATGTCTGGCGCTTTCCCTACGTGTGTTACCAGAATGGAGGCGGTCAGTATCGTGAGCCACACGCAGAGGCTTTGACCCAGGGGTGGTCTGTAGCGTCTCTTGGGGAGCCAGAAGATAAATCATATCTTTTCTGTCTTTTATTTATTTATTTATTTATTTATTTATTTATTTATTTATTTATTTATATTTTTTTAATTAACTAATTTTTATTTTTTAATCCTCACCCGAGAATATTTTTCCATTGATTTTCAGATGGAGTGGGAGGAAGGGAGGGAGGGAGAGAGTGTGTGAGACAGAGAAACATTGATGAGAGAGACACGCATTGATTGGTTGCCTCCCGCAAGACCATGACCAGGGCCAGGGATCCAACTGCAACCATGGTACATGCCCTCGACCGGAATCAAACCGGAGACTCTTTGGCCCACGGGCCGACGCTCTAACTGCTGAGCCAAACCGGCCAGGGCCTGTCTTGTTTAACTGATATGGGTCTGGGAACCCGATTGCTTAGACATAGAAACTTATCTAAAAGATAAATCTCCAGTAAGCCAACACTTGAAGTCTGCATGTCTGACGCTCCCTGGGCTATGAAGTTGGATGAACTCTCCCGAACCCGACCTCAGCAGGTCTTCAGCATCAGTCGGCAGCACTAGTGCTCCATTTGTTGAACAGCTCCCTTCCCGGCCCGCATGGCCCAAGCTCCACGCCTCCACCCAGCAAGATGCAGGGGTGACCGCAGTACTGTGCTGAGCTCCTGCTCCCGCTGGCGGGTCCCCTCAGAGGGGTCCAGAGAGGGAAGGTCTGTGCATGGAAAACTTGGGAGGTAGCTCACAGGTCCAGAGCTCCTGGGCCTTTGGACCTGGGTGAGATCAGAGAAGGGCTTCAGCTCGAGTCCAGAGTTTTAGGTTACAGTCCGGGCATGACCCCGAGCTGAGCCCAGCCCCAGCAGGGCATTAATGCCGACCCAACCGTGCATGGATGTGTCTGTGTCTCCAACAAGAGGGTTAGGTTTTTGAGACCAGAGACTATTTCTCGTTTCTCCTTCTGCCCTCAACACTTCCAGAGCAGTGCACTTGTACATTATGAAAAATAGTAGCTGAGTGTAGGCATGGATATGGGAGCCCAGAGAGAGGAGTGAGTAGGTGTGGGGCTCCGGGCTGAGACTGACTTGCTATCAGAATAGGAAAAGGATGAGAGATGGGAGTCAAATTAGTCGATATTTATCTTGACAGGAGCTCTGACTACAGATTTGGGAGGGCAGCTAAAATGAGTGGTTTGGGGGGGGGGGTGTAATTCATTTGTGCCCATGGCCTGACACGGAGTCGCCTATCTTGGCTGCTTTTGAGGGCCGTGGCCCATGCAGCTGCAAAGGCAGTTCCTGCTGGGGGAGGGGCTCCTGCCTGGGAGGAGCAGAGGTTGGAATCACCTTATCTCCAGCTCGGGAGGACTCACCTTTAGCCTGAGTGTTACTGAAGGGGCTGGGTCACCTTGTGCCCTGTGGTGAAGCCAGGCAAGCCAACCCTTTGGACAAATGCCACCAAGAGAACACAGCGTGGTTCTTACTCTCGATCCAGATTTCCCCAGAGTGGTTGGTTGTAAATTAGGTGGGACCTTTCTGAGCTGCACTGACTTCAGGTTTCTTGTTTCAAAGCACTTTATGGGAAGGGAAGTTGTCAGGGAAAATCACAGCCCACCCATCCTTTGGGCTGGAACTCGGGCTGCAGGTGAGCAGTCCTTGGCATGTTCACCTTCTGCTTTGGCCACGCCAGCCAGGACACGCCAGCATCCCCAGAGATGCAGCAGCTCCGCCTTTTCTCCGTCTGTGACAAACTTTCCTGTTCGGCCATACCTGCCCAAGTGGCTCAGGAGGGAGCATTCTGGCTCAGTGGGATTATGGAAAACAGCTCACTATCAACAATCAAGTGTCGAGTCAGGGATAATATGGATGAACAAAGATACTAATTCAGGGCCTCATAGATTACTGCAGCTGATGGACAGGTTGCCACAGGAGATCTGTTCCAAGGGTCCCAAACGCTGGTCCATGTACTGGTTGCATCAGAATCACCTGAGGAAGTTAACATTTTTTTTTTGTTATACCCACACCTGGAGCTTCTGCTTCAGAAAGTCTGGGTAGGTGTGTGTTTGTAAGCCCACCAGAGATTATGATGGATGGCTGGGTGTGGGGACATCAACTCTCCTCAACCCTGTCACTTTATACAGAGGGAAATACTCTGAGAGAAGTGGCCCTGGGCCCTCCAGGCACTTAGAGTGGAACTGGTCCCGGTGCCGGTTCTGTTGACTCCCAAACCCAGCTTTCTTCCGCTTGCTCTCTGCCACCTCCAAAACCTCACCTTCGTGGTGGAGCTGTGTCTGTTACTCCTGCCAACGCACCAGGACCAGGGAGCACAGTGTGAGGTCACTCAGCGGAAGGAGGCTTCGGGATGCCCGAGCCCCAGATGGCTCTGTGATTCCCAGTGCGGACCTGGCGTGCAGAGCAGTTGGGCCTTCCTGGGACAGGCGTGGGCAGGGAGTAAAATTGTCTTTCGTCTGCCTCAGGGGCGTTCCTTATCCCCTACACCATCATGGCCATTTTTGGAGGGGTCCCACTCTTCTACATGGAGCTCGCGCTGGGCCAGTACCACCGAAACGGGTGCATTTCAGTATGGAGGAAAATCTGCCCCATTTTCAAAGGTAACTGAAAGGCTGGAGTGGGTGGGTTTTCCAAGACAGTAGTGATTTCCATCAGTGGGTGGGAGCTGGGGACCTGGAATCCATTAGGCCTTCCTAACCCTGAGTTATAATAATTAACTGCTCAAGTGGTAGAAGACTGTTAATGGGAAACAGAATAAATGACAATGAAAAGTAAACAGCACAGAAAAACTTCAAAGCATTACCGCACAGACACACTTCTGAACCGTGTAACCTTGCAAATACACTTAGGTCATTTCCCACATTGTCACTTTCCCGCCCCCTCCCGGGGCCTTTGGGCAATGAATTGAGTGGCAGCCCCCGCCCGAACGCCTCCCCCCTGCTGCAGTGCCCTCCAGTGCCCAGTTTCCGTCTTTCACTGTTGGGCTGCCTTTCCCACTCGGGCCCCCCTTGCCCTCTGTCCCAGGGATCGGCTACACTATCTGCATCGTTGCCTTTTACACCTCCTTCTACTACAACACCATCATGGCCTGGGCGCTCTACTACCTCGTCTCCTCCTTCACCGCCCGGCTGCCCTGGACCAGCTGCGAGAACCCCTGGAACACGGGCAACTGCACCAACTACTTCTCTGAGGGCAACGCCACCTGGACAGTCTACTCCACATCGCCTGCGGAGGAGTTTTACACGTGAGTGTCTGTACGTGAGGGCGTGGTCTGTTCAGGGCAGGCCCCACCTCTGGGTTTGGCTTCTTTGGAGGGAGGCTGGGGCAGGGCAGGCCCCAGGCTGGTCTGGAGTTTGGGGACTCTACTTTGAATGCTCCATAACCTGGCCCTCTGTGCCATCCAGTCCTTTCCGAGGCACCATGCCAGGCGGCTGTAATGTGCCCAGAACAACCCCTACCTTCATGTTCCAGAATTACTCTTCTGCTCCCAAACCGCCCTTCTTCCTGGGCCTCCTCTGAGCTGATGCCATGGAAGCCAAGCCTCTGACCGCTTAGGTAGTTTGAAACTATCCACAGTCCTGGTTTCATGTGTTCACTTCCTAAGTGGGATCTACCCTTTGGAAGTGGATGCCTGGAGCAGGGAGTATTCCTTAATGCTGGGATTTCAGACAACGGCAGCCCAAAGAGAGTGATCGTTTGGGGTCAGGAAGGGGCCCACCACTCACACATACAAGTCCTCATGTGCCCAAAAGCCGGTCATGTTGTTCATGTTTCCTGCTGGTCCGGTCCCAGCAGGACAGGGGAGCCCTGGGAGCCTGCCCTCGGGCTGAGCATGCGCCCCAGGGCTGGCCACGCCTCCAGGGTGCGCAGAGCCAATCCCTGCTCTGGCCGAGCTCAGTGGCCACGTGGTGCTTGCAGCGCGGTGTCTGTTTCTTCTCTTGGCGCCTCCTCCGGGTGTCACCAGCAGTGTGCCCAGGCCACTGCTCAGACCATCTCCTGGCCTTTCTTTCTCCACGTCAGGCGCCACATCCTGCAGATCCACCGGTCGGAGGGGCTCCAGGACCTGGGGGGCATCAGCTGGCAGCTTGTCCTCTGCATCACGCTGATCTTCACTATCATCTACTTCAGCATCTGGAAAGGAGTCAAAACATCCGGCAAGGTGAGGAGGACTCTGCGGATCCAGGCCTGCAAGGGGCCCCAGAGGATCTCAGGCTCGGAACGCAGTTGCCCAGACAGGGGGACATTTTGCCAGACATTCCATGATGCTCAGTCTCTCTTCACCAAGTCTGTTAGAAAGTTCTAGAAATGGGCCAATCCCAAGAACCATTATATGATTTAATTTTTTTTTTTCTTTAACCCACTGGCAGTGTCACAGTATATAATAGTGGCAATAAGTTACTGAAACCCCCCGTGGACCATGTTCAGTGCTTTATATACACTGGCTACTTGACCGTCTCTGGCAGGGTACTCACCCCACTTTACAGCTGGGGCTGGGTTGAGAGGTCGTTAGTACCAGCAAGCAGTGGATCAGATCCCTGTCTGGTTTTAAAGGCTGTGATCTTTTTGCCACACCACCTGCCTCCTAAAATTACAGGGAGGAAAAAAAGGTAGATCTCTGTTCTTGGAGGTGTTCAAGAATAAAAGACACCATCACCCACGTGGTGACCTGTGTTTCCTTCCTCACAGGTGGTATGGGTGACAGCCACCTGCCCTTATATCATCCTGTTGGTCCTGCTGGTCAGGGGGGCCACCCTCCCCGGAGCCTGGAGGGGTGTTGTCTTCTACTTGAAACCCAACTGGCAGAAACTCCTGGAGACAGAGGTAAGACAATGAGGAAACCGGTGTGTACCTCTCTGTCCGTTTACTAAGTGAAGCGAGTCCTCTGAATAGGGTAGTAGCAACAACTATAATTTCAGTTCAGTGGCAAGTCTGCAGTGATGCTTTACATCAGGAATAAAAGCATGCAAAGTGCAGTTGAGGCCACTGGATTGGTGATGCCCACATGAGAGGAAGAGGTCACATTATTTGTACCTGGTATGCAGCCATCCTTGGAATGAGCCTTGAGAGCTGTTTCTCTGTGTCTGCACATACCCACATGGTGGCACGGGGCGCTGGCCCTCCTGGCACCTGGCATCGGCCCAGGTCTCAGCCCTTACCCTACCTCTACTGTGTTCCAGGTGTGGGTGGCTGCTGCCTCCCAGATCTTCTTCTCTCTTGGTCCTGGCTTTGGGGTTCTACTGGCTTTCGCTAGCTACAACAAATTCAACAACAACTTTTATCAGTGAGTATCGGGGGCCCCCCAAACACAGCTTAAAAGTGGGATAAGTGTGAGGAAGGTGTAGGAAGGTGATTGAACTGATGGCCTCGAACCTGGCTGGGCTCAGGTCATGTTGACACCCTGACCCTCAGGGGTGCCACAGGTCCCTGAACAATGCACTCATGGCCAGAGCTTCACCTGGGGTTGAGAGAGGCCCCAGGACTCTTCTGTCTTATGACAGTCTCTTTATACCAAAAAATATATTAAGAAATTCTAAAGCAGGTTTACAAAAACTGCAACAAACAGTACATGTTTAGATTTAACAAAACAATTATAATATTTATGTATATATACACAAAAAGTATGATTGAACTATTTTGACCAATGCAAAATGCCATAATTTTTGTGGCAAAGTCTTAGTTCAGAAATGCTGATGAACCAGAGAGTATTGCACCCATTAGGATTTAAATATCACTCATCATCGTAGAGTTGACTTCACTGTAATGTTCTATCACAGGTGCCAAGGTGCAGCAATCAGATTGTGCTATTCACAAGATAATTACAAATTTTATTTTATTTTTTAAAGGAATTCACACGCACCCTAGCAATATGGCCTAGCATTGGGACACCAGCCAGAAGTCCAAGATGAGCTCTTCTGTTAAAAGTGTCAGGATAGCACTGGCTGGTTTGGCTCAGCAGTTAAAGCATCGGTCCTCAGACCAAACAGTACCTGGTTCGATTCTGGTCAAGGGCACATAACCTCTGTTGCAGTTTGGTTCCCGGCCCTGGTTGGGGTTGTGCGGGAGGCAACCAATCCATGTGTCTCTCTGACATCTCTCTCTCTCTCTCTCTCTCTCTCTCTCTCTCTCTCTCTATCTCTCCCCCCCCCCCTTGGTCTGAAAATAAATGGAAAAATATCCTCAGGTGAGGAATTTTAAAAAAAACCATTGCCCAGCCTGTGTGGCTCAGTTGTTGAGCATTGACCCATGCACCAAGAGGTCACCAGCTCGATTCCCTGTCAGGGCACATGCCCAGGTTGTGGGACCGATCCTCAGTGGGGGGCATGCAGGAGGCGGCCAATCAATATTCTCTCTCATCAATGTTTCTATCTCTCTCTCCCTCTCCCTTCCTCTCTCTCTTAAATCAATAAAGAAAAAAATTAAAAGAAAAAACATTTTTTTAAAAAAGTATCAGTATATCACTGTGGCAGTCTTGTAACCTCATTTGCCCATAGTGTCAAAAGCCGAAACCGAGGACTTCACAAATGTGAGGCTAAAGCCCCCTTCTGGCTCCCACTGCCACGCAGGCCCAGTTTCAGAGCAAGTTTTGTCTGACACTGAGAGGTCTGTGCTGTGCTTGTTCCCAGGACCATGTTCTAAAATTACCTGACCAGCTGTCGCCCCTGCCATGTGTGATGGTAACGGCAGCTTGTGCTTCAGGTGGGATCCAACAGTCTGAGAGGCTGGGCTGGGACAGGGATGGGAGCCAGGTCGGGCTTGAAGTCCCTGTGAGGTCAGCCCGCTCACCCTTTGCCACAGCTGGAGACAGATGTCCTCAGACGCCTGGCTTGGAAATGTCTCAGCCCCCTTGGGTTTTCTGCTCCAGAGACGCCCTGGTGACCAGCGTGGTGAACTGCATGACGAGCTTGGTTTCGGGATTCGTCATTTTCACGGTGCTTGGCTACATGGCTGAGATGAGGAAGGAAGAGGTGTCCGAGGTGGCCAAAGACACAGGTAGGACCTCGGTTCTATTTAGGTCCCTTGCTCCCTGAATTGCTTTGCTGCTTTTTGGATCTTTTCAATACCTAACTTCTGAATGATTTCTAAATGCTTCCTTTAAAAATGTCAAAGATTTTAGAAAAATTTAATGCCTTGGAGAGCTCAACCCTTCCCAGGTACTCAGGCCACAGAGGGGATGGGGCAGCTCCCTTGGCACCCAGTACCAGGACCCTGAACACACTGTGGGCTTCTCCTCCCCCTCTGTCTCAGGCCCCAGCCTCCTCTTCATTGCATATGCGGAAGCCATAGCCAACATGCCGGCATCCACATTCTTCGCCATCATCTTCTTCTTGATGTTAATCACACTGGGGTTGGATAGCACGGTGAGTGGATGGGGAGGGAAATCTGACTCTGGGGAGGAGGAAGAAGAGGAGGAAAAGGAGGGGGAGGAGCCGGGAGGGGAGAGAGAAATTGTACCCATTCCCTCCCATCCTGGCCACCCCAGCTGGTGTTGGCTGCTCCCTCCGGGTGCTCCCCCAGCCCCTCGTTCGCCCCTCATCGACTGCGCTTACCACCCTCTAGTGCCTTAGGGCCATTAATGGGACGGCTGTGTGTGTGTATACACAAGCACAGGCCAGGGGCTCAGCACATGTGAGCTGTTATTACTGTACACTGTCCCTTAGCCAGGTGGCAGCAGCTAAAGGCCAGGGCAAGGTCACCCTGTGTCTCGGTGCCTTGCATTCAGCTTGGCACCTCGCACTTAGTGTAGAATGAGCCTCACTACAAGTCGGCTTTTCTCGTGCAACCAGTGTCCCCAAGAGACCTCACATGAACGAGTCCTTTCCGTGTGCTATAGTTTCTTCCCTTCATGTTCTTTGGGGTGGGTTCCAAATGACAGTGTAAACAGAGTAGGATATTTCCAGTGAGGGCTGGTGAGTAAGGGGGACTGGTCACGATCAGCTTGCCTGGTCACTTGGCAGTCTTAACCCCTCCTTCCTGTTCACTGTCCTAGATTTGTCCCCAAGCCTCCCTTGAAACCATGTGTGTCCCTCTCAGTTTGCAGGCTTGGAGGGGGTGATCACAGCTGTGCTGGACGAGTTTCCGCACATCTGGTCCAAGCGCCGGGAGCTGTTTGTGCTCTGTGTGGTTGTTACCTGCTTCTTCGGGTCCCTGGTCACCCTGACTTTTGTGAGTATCACAACCCTCGGCTTTCAGTCGGCCTCCTCGAGGGCAACAGAAGGCTACACGGCGCCGTCCCTTCCCTTCCATCGCCCACGGTGCCCTGGCTTATAAAAAGTGTGACTGCTTATAAAAAGCTTGTCATTAAGGACAAAAAGCTGTTCCTGGTGGCATCTGTTTGTACACTCTGTGCAAGGTGTCTGGATGCTCTTTGCATTTTACAGTAGCTCCAGCTGGATTTCAGGCTTGGCAGAATATCTGGAGAAAAGCTAAGATTCGCTTTCCCAGTTTACTCCCAGTCCTTGGGGCCACTTCCATGGCGATATTGCCCTGATGTCCTGATGTGCAGAACATCTGGAGGCTGGGGCCTCACGTTCCCTGTCACCTTGTCTCCTTCAGAGAACTTGCAATGGTGAAGAAGTCAGACCCTCTCCAGTGACTTACTTTTCTTGGTAGCTGAAGGAACTGCTCTAAAGCGGGCATCAGAAAGCACCACAGGCACCCGGGCTCGTGTCCTGACAGGCAGAGCTGGCAGATATCATCTTCAAGCCATGACCCCAGTGTCCGCGGAGCTTCGGCAGGGTGGTGGATCCTGGGCGGGACCCGAGGGATTTGTGAGCTGGAGCAGAAGGCAGACCTGTGCCCAGTGTGCTCGGTGGGTCTGGTGTTGTGGACTCTCACAGGCTCAGTGTTTAGGGATCGGGATTCTCCAAGGTAGAGTACGCAGTAGGGGTTTGGCAAATCGAAGAAAGTGAGCAAGGCCCTTTTGAGTTTGTGTCTTAAAATGTGGTGAGGAGAGGAGACAAATAGAGAGAGCTCCGTAGGGAGGGGAGCGGCATCTGATGGGCGAAATCTGGCCCACCTGAGACGGCCAATCCAACAGATACTGATATTAGGCCCAAAGTGGGCATTTTCCAGGATTACCCTTAGTTAAGAAGCTTCTCTTGGCCCCGGTCGTAGAGAAGAGGCAGTGCCTCACCCAGGCCCGTCTCATTCCCAGGGCGGGGCCTACGTGGTGAAGCTGCTGGAGGAGTACGCCACGGGCCCCGCGGTGCTCACCGTCGCCCTGATAGAGGCTGTCGCCGTGTATTGGTTCTACGGTAAGGTGCTTCCTCCCACCAGCCACAGTCTTGTCGACATCATCCTGAAGCCACCGGAAGAGAGAAGGGCCAGTTTCATGGAAGGGAGGGCAGTGGGCAAGACGTCCTCTCCCGGAGGGTCTGTGATCATCTCGTCCTCCCTCTCTACAGAAGGTTGCTCGAACCCTTGGGAGGACGGATTTTCCTTCTGAGTTTAAATGTTTACCCAGTGAGACAGCCCGAGGGGGTTCCCTGATAGGTCAGCCACAGTGGATGCTTGAGATCCCGGCTGGCTAAGAACTGGACAGAACATAAAGAACTGGAGGACGGCGAATGCATTAGCAGAGTGGACCACATCCTGTGGAGTCCGGAGTGGCCCTCAATTTAAATTTCGGAAGCAAGAGCTCCCTCCAGAGCCCCGAGGCAGAGTTTAGGAGCTTGTCTTCTAGGGAAGAGGCAGGAACGCCTCTGTTTGGATTCTCTGCCCTGGAAAAACCTACTCTGGTCCTGGGATGGAATCCAGTAAGAATGAAACCACAAGGACCTCAGACAGTGAGCCGACATGGGTCCGTTGGCAGGGGTCCCAGGAGCCCCTGGCTGGGGGTGGGGAGGGCACAGGCAACTGAAGTGAAGACAACCAGGTTCAGAGATACCTCTCTTTATCCTTGAAATCAAGAAGTGATTACTTCATTCTGAAAATGCATTTGTCTTCCTAGATTCAGTGACAATAGCACCGTGTTAGCATGCTTGGCATTCTGCACATATGAAGAAGGGGCCCCCATACTTTAAGTTGCACGTCAGTCCAGCTTTGTAAAGAGAAGTGCTCCCTACCTCCTCAGCAATTCAGACGACAAGTTCACGTGTGTGCTCTCAGGGGAGCCGCCGCAGGCCATCTCCTTCCCTTCTCAGCTGTGCACAGGGCAGAGTCCCCCTGGTGCTCTCATGCCAGCTACTGTCGCAGAAGAGCCTTCGCTGTGACCTGGCACACGAATGGGCCCCGCCGGGGTCCAGATGTTCTCCTGGAAGTTTCCGCTCCGTGGTTACATGGTCAGCCAGTCGCTGTTGAGCGGGCTCATCATTCTGAGTACTCAGTAGGGGTTTGGTAAATCGAAGAAAGTGAGCCTTTTCTACAGTAACAATAAAATAAAATATATGCTGAGATCTCAGAAAGGCAGTGTGGCCACCAACAGGGGGCTTAGGTTTCTCCCCGAATGTCCACCTGTCTTCCCGCTCTGCAGAAAGGGCGATGCTTGCTATGAAATGAAGTTCTGTGACAAGTCCCCGGGTCCCCCTTTCAGACCAGATTGGTGCCCTGAGCCCCTCCCATGGGAAATGTCAGACTGCTTCTCTCTCTGAGAATTAAGGATAGGACAGTCCATGTGCGCTCCCAGTCAACAGCCCCTTTCTCTTCCGGCTGATTTTAGGCATCGCCCGGTTCTGCAGCGATGTGAAGGAGATGCTGGGTTTCAGTCCGGGATGGTTCTGGAGGATCTGCTGGGTGGCCATCAGTCCCCTGTTTCTCCTGGTGAGTTTCACCTTCCTCGACCTTCTGGCCCTGGAGAAAGAGCTGCTCAAACACGTATAAAAAATAAATGCTATTGAGGTGTAGCATATACACTGCAAAGGGTACAAATCCTAAGTGTACATTTCAATTAAATTTTATAAATTGAGCACACTTTTGTAGCCAAAACCGTACCAAGAAAGAAAAACACCACCAACACTTCAGCCCCTTCGTGTCCCCTCCCAGTCACTGTGCACCCCATGGTTCTGGCTTCTACCACCACAGGGTCGTCCAGGCCTCCATCACGGCATTGCTTCGCCCCTCTGCTCAGTGATAACGATAAATAACATTTATTGAACATTACATCCCAGGCCAGACTTGGTAAAAAATGTATGCCCATTGCCCTTTTTCAATCCTCATAACAATTCTATGAAGTCGTATAGTTCCAATACCCCGTTTTACATTTAAGGAAATTGAGGCTTAGAGGGATGTTGAGTCAAGGGTCCAAGGTCACATGACAAGTGAGAACTGTTCAAGACCAGGGGAGGATGTAGTGTGCTGCTCCTGAGGCCCTGGGGATGGTCCTCGTAATTCTGTGTCCGTTTTCTTAAAGCTGCCCCCCAAGAAGGTCCTCCAGCATGACCCGAATCGAAAGTAGGATCCCTTTGTTGCGGAAGGACCTGGGTGAGATAGTTCAGCTCCGGGGTTACCCATTTGCCAGGGCATGTTCGGTGGTCACTTCCCCTGCATTTCCTCCTGGTTCCCGTCTGAAGGAGGTTTGCCCAGGGATGGAGACGCACCCCGCTGACATCCCAAGTCCGCCCTGAGCCTGGGGTGAAGTGATGCCGTCCGTGCCTTTTGGCAGGGGCTGTCCTGCTCTTTCCTTTCTCTGTAGTTGCATTTGGGGAGGCTTTTTGATCTTTCAGAGCCAGAACGGTGGGTAGACTTCCTTCAGCCCAGCCACAGCTTGTCAGGGGTGCCTGGGCCATTCATTTCTTTTAGGACAGCTCTGCCTTTGGCATACATCGCGCCTTCCCCCTCTTTGAAAGCAGCCCTTTTTGTGGTCTGTTTTGACTTTCTCAGGGCAGCCCTTCATTTTTTCTACTTTTGTACCACACATTAACCTACGAAATGAACGATATGCTCACCTTGCCTTTGCAATGCTGCCTGCGCCTCTCCCCAGAATCCCCCCTTGACTTACTTCCATTCCCCTGGGCCCTGGCGGTTTCCAAAACCAAAGCCAACCTGAGCAGCAAGAATCCTCAGGTCCAGGGGCTCTGGTGTGTGCTCTGGCTCCAGTGTTCCCCTAGATCTCAGGGACACCCTTTTCCCCACTCCCCACCCTCATCCCGCCTTCACTACACTGTTGTCTGTGTCCATTGGTAAATTCTTTGGTTTATCTCTTCCCGCCCCCCACCCCCTTCCCTCTGAGGTTTGTCAGTCTGTTCCCTACTTCCATGTCTCTGGATCTGTTTTGTTCTTCAGCTTATTTTGTTTATTATATTCCACACATAAGTGAGATCATATGATACTTATCTTTCTCTGACTGGCTTATTTCACTTACCATAGTATTCTCCCAGGTTCCTCTGTGTCATCTCAAAGGGTAAGAGATCTTTCTTTCTTACAGCTGCATAGTACTCCATTGTGTATATGTACCACTGCTTTTTTATCCACTCATCTACTGATGGACACTTGGGCTGTTTCCAAATCTTAGCTATTGTAAATAGTGCTGCTATGAATATAGGGGTGCTTTCTGATTGGTAAAAACATATATTTTTAAATCCTGAAATTTTGGTTGTTTTCAATGAGAGGGTTGATCTGAATCACCTCACCTGCCATTACCAGAAGCCGAAGTCCTGGCATCAGTGGTTTATTAATTTATATTATTACCAGTACTTCTCCGTAATCTACATAAATTCTTTTATTTGTTTTTCAAAGAAAGGAGAGACACTGGGTTGGTTCCCGAGGGGAGAAGTCATGTTTGTTGGTTTACCCGCACAGGGAGGAAATGATGTCGCAGGCTGACATTTGGGAGAGGCGACCGAGGCACTCAACACAGACGTAAAATTTAAGGGGGCACCAAAACTCTCAGCAATCAAGATAAATGCTCTCTTAATGCAATTTTTAAAAATTTGAATGAATGCAAAAAACTCCAAAGAACAAAATATCAACATTTTAAATAGATACGGGATCTGACCCTATTCTGGGATGACTTACCCTACCCCCTCACCCTGATCTGGCTGTGTCAGATCCTGTCTTTTTAACATATTGCATTCAGATATTATTTATCCTGTTTACTGAAATTCTGGCACCCCCTGAAGTGTTGGGCCTGAGGTGAGTGCCTCAGATGTGTCACCCTGATCCTGGCCCCAGGCTTTTACTGTTTCCATGTCTGTGCACTGTGGTTGACCAGCAGGCCGGCGACCTCTTGGTGTACCGTCAATGAGTTTCCCTGCCCAGCAGAACCCACCTACAGGTCTGGGTTCAGGCTCGTTACTCCTAACTCCTGTAATGTTCTATTTACTTCCTCTAAAGGCAAGGGCTCCAGGGCACGATGAAGAGGAGGCAATCTGGGTCGCACATCCAGGTTTACTTAAAAAATCCCCTGCTCTAGGCTTTAAAAAAAAAACAGTTTATTGATTTTTAGAGAGAGAGAAACATCGAGAGAGCTCAACACTGATTGGCTACCTTCTGCATACCCCCGACTGGGGATTGAGCCGAAACCGCAGCCTGTGCCCTTGACCTGGAAGTGAACCAGCCACTTCCTGGTGCACCGGACGATGATACCCAACCAACTGAGCCACACCAGCCAGGGCCCCTGCTCTGAGCTTTTTTTTTTTATCCTCACCCGAGGACATTTTTCCATTTTTTGTTCAGACAGAGTGGGAGGGAGAGAGAGGAAGAGAGAGAGTGAGAGAAACATCGACGTGAAAGGAACACATCGAGTGGCCGCCACCCGCACGACCAACCAGGGCCGGGGACAGACTGCAACCAAGGTACATGCCCTTAGCGGGAACCGAACCCGGGTCTCTCTGGACCGCAGGCCGACGTGCTCTGAGCTTTTTAAAGACTGTTTTAGGTCAACGATGAGCAGCTTACTAAAAATATTCTTTTTCACTGAAGCCAAGTTACAAAACAAGAAAACATTACACACGAGCAAGGAGAGGCTGGGCCGTGCAAAGGGTGTGTGAAGCCACAGGTACTGGCTGCAGCAAGAGCAGGAGGCCTCTCTGACGGGCACCAGATCTCAGCCTGGCGTCCGGAGGACAGGAGTTACAGCAGGCATGGCTCCTAACCAGACCCCGTTTCCCTGTTCCAGTCTCTCTTCCTTAGGATCCGAGTCTGGGCACGAGGACAGTGTCAGGACAAAGGTCTGCGACTGGCCGGGCTCCTGTTTCGAAAGCTTCCTCCTGGAGTTAGGATAACACTGTTCAGAAGATGGATGTGTGTTTAATAATTTCCCATTTTATTACCTGCAGACATAGGAAAAAAAAAAAAGATATAAATACGTGTTTAAACACACAAATAATTTACATTACTGTCTTCTTTATGACTATGAAGTAATAAAATGAAATTAAATCAGGAGCAGTAACGATTTCGACATAGTGGTTACAAGGTAAAAACTGGTATTTACGCTCTCTTGGGAAACCAAACTGAAATAAGAAAACTCAGAAACTGAGTGTTAGGAGCACACCATGGATTTCTTTCTTGGTCAACACTGTCACTGAATTTTCAGGTAAAAAGTGTCCTAAGCTGCATTCTCCTTGCATTATGCCTTCCATTAGGAGGGCTGGTGGCAGGCAGGCCTTCTCTGGGAGGTGCCTCCGGGCACAGCCAGCCTTGGTCACACCCCAGGCTGAGGCCTTGTGCGGACAGCAGAGAGCTCACGGGAAGGGGCAGAAGGAACATGTGGCCAGGAGCCCGGGTCCTCTTCGGGTCTTGAGAACCTCATTATCTCTCCTGGACATAGGTACCTTCCATCTGCTGGAAACACGGCAGCTGAGGCAGGAGGAAATGAAAGCGAAGTAGAGAGAACTAGGAAGCCCTGGGACTGGCAGGGGCCGGGAGAGGTCACCCAGCTTATTCCTCCACCATCTGAAAAGAGACGCCCAACCACTTCTGATGGGGGCCAGTCTCTTCCCCTTAGCCCTGAAGGGGGTGCTGTAACTCACCTGAATGACATTCTGAGGTGTTCACATTGCCACTGTGAAGGCTGAGGTGGGGGGGGGGGTGTCAAGATAAGTGCCTGGCTGCTTTATTTTTGCAGAAAATTGGGCACAAAAATCAGTGAATTCTGTGTGTCAGAGTTCAGTCTAAGATATATCACATCTTGGGAATTTCCCGAAAGTAGCTTTGCACTTGGCGTTCACAGTATCAGCACTGTCTCTAGCTACACAGATATTATTTTTAATGTTTCTTGGAATTTCTATTTTAGTTCATCATTTGCAGTTTTTTGATGAGCCCGCCGCAGCTGCGACTTTTCCAGTATAATTATCCTCACTGGAGCACCATCCTGGGCTACTGCATAGGAACCTCGTCTTTCCTCTGTGTCCCCACGTATGTGATTTACCGGCTGATCAGCACTCCAGGGACTCTGAAGGAGGTGCGTGCTAGTGTGTGTGTGCTCAGGCTGGTCATTGTTTGGGGAGAAAAGGTTCTTGGGCTATGCTCTCTTCACAGGAGATAAGTCCACTGCATGAATTCACCTTATATACTTACATAAGGTATACCGACCGTGCAGACTTCAGTGGCTGCCATGTAACCTCAAATACAGCAGCGAAGGAGCGAGCTGGCCATCTGGGAGCGCCCTAGCATGCAGCGTGGGGTGCACGTGGCACCCTGAACTTACCAGATGAGCACTTTGCCTCCTGCTTACCATTGGCATGGACATCAAATCAGTGGTGTCTTGGGCAATACACACATTTTTATTTAAGTGGGCATTATGGTGGGAAATGTCCATGGTCACTGTTCTAATGCCAATGTGACAAGGGCTATTTTGAAAATTGTCACTAAAAAAGGGTGTTACAATAACATCATAGTTTTAACTCAAGCCATTGGAGTTTTAAAAAAAAAAGTTGCCATTATAGCAAAATTCATTTCCGTAATTAATAATGGGCTGTAAAAATTTTAATCACAGAACCTGACAGTGTGTATAAGATTGTATATTTTTCAAAGCATCTTCATGTAGAGTATCCCATTTTGTTATCAAAATACCTTGTGAGGTGAATGGGAAGGTATTATTAGCAGACAAGCAAACTGAAGCTAAGAATAATGCTGCTCAGAATTTCCTTACTCCAGGGATTGTCCGAGGACACAGAACAGGGAGGCCCAGAATCCAGGTCTTCTGATTCCTGGCCCAGGGCCCTTTCGCTTTAGGTGCCGTTTCTCTGTTGTCCTCAGTTTGCAACGAATAGTTCGCTAAATGTAGAAATTGGTGCCAGAGGTTACGGAGAGATGAGTTGCCTTTTGAGGGGGGTGAGGTGGTTAAGCCTCACCTGAGGCTATTTTTCCATTGATTTCTTTTTTTTTTTTTTTATCCTCACCCGAGGATATTTTTCCATTGATTTTCAGACAGAGTGGGAGGGAGAGATGGAGAGAAACATCGACATGAAAGAGACACATTGATTGGTTGCCTCCCACACAACCCCAACCAGGGCCGGGGACAAACAGCAATAAAGGCTCGTGCCCTTGACCGGAATCAAACCTGCGACTCCCTTCTCCTCGGTCCAACGTTCCCACTGCTGAGCCAAACTGGCCAGGGCTGAGTGGCCATTCTCTATCCTATGTTGCTAGAGTTAGTAGTTCAGGCCACTCACAAGTCTGTGGGTGGGTGCTCGTGCAGGGGACAAGCTCAAAGGCGAAGAGTGGTATTTGGGAAAAGCTAGAAGGGATGGGACTCTATAATGATTGGAGAACTGGGATGGGATGGTCTGTGGGTTCTTAGAAGCAAAACTTAAACGGCAGACCAACATGCTCATCTTCCTAAAACATTTTAAAAGAAACATGAAGTACCCTGGCCAGTTTGGCTCAGCGGTTAGAGCGTCGGCCTGCGGTCCGGAGAGACCCGGGTTCGGTTCCTGCTAAGGGCACATACTTCGGTTGCAGTTTGTCCCCGGCCCTGCTTGGTCGTGCGGGTGGCAGCCACTCGATGTGTCCTTTCACGTCGATGTTTCTCTCTCTCTCTCCCTCCCACTCTATCTGTACAAAAAATGGAAAAATATCCTCGGGTGAGGATAAAAAAAAAAAAAAAAGAAACATGAAGCAAGAGAACACGAAGCAATTAAACACGAGCTCTTCCTGAACTGAGCTCATTACTTTTTTCAAACAGGAAAACTGAATTCTAGGTGAACAGAACTCTGCAAGGAGTTAGTAATTTCCTTCATCCAAACCCATCCTGTCACCACCTCATTCCTCCCAAAGGGACTTGGACTCTGGTGTTGCTTGAAACACATGCTCAGACCTAGGGTCATTGATGTGTTTCTACAGGTTGTCCTTCATGGCAGTCATGATGGCCCACTGGCTCTGTTGACGCAAACCCAGAGGCCAAGATCGGGGTGGAACTCAGGTTAATAAATGTCAGTACTCTTTGGTTACAGACTACACTTCGAATCTTTGTCATTGTTCTTGCAAATTCCCTGTTGGCCACAAGGAAATGGCACCAAAGGTATATAATTAACAGAGCTCAGATCCATTAGTAATAGAGGCAAAGCTGATTGTAGGGTCATTAGCAATAGAGGTAAGGCTAAATGACATTGGCTGATTGCCACTGGCCACCAGATAGGGAACATGGGTTACCAGGAAACATCATGATACAGCCTGTCAAGGAGGACGGGAAGGAAAAGACCGAGTCAGCTATAGAAAGTTATTCACCTTCTCTGGGCCTTAGCTTCTTCATCCTTCAAATGCGCTCAATTAGGTTGGATTAACACTTCCCAAATGTTAATGTACTTCAAGGAGCAGTAGCTCCGCGGGATATCAGTGGGCGCTACTGCTGGGGGAAGATTATGTAGTTGGAAACATTTTGGAGAATGCTGGATTAAGGCAAGTTAAATAGGTTTCTTTACTGTGGGACTTCGCAAAAGCCTTGCTATGCCCATGTGCATGTCTAAGCTCTGAGAGGGATAAAGCATGCCATGTTTTTTGCCAAGAACACCAAGGGACTATAATTCTACATGAATACCATACTTGATTGTCTATAACATTCTATCTATGAGGGAGGAAGGCCTCCTTTGAAGTTTTGGTATGGGTAAAAAAAAAAAAAAGACGAAGAGAAAGGTGAATTTCTTAACTGTTCTGGGCCCTGGCCACACACAGGGTCGTAGTCTGCTCTCTCACTGGAATTTTGCGGGTATCACATGCACAGGCTTGATCGGGTCATGCACAGAAGTCCCTGGTAACCTGCACCCCTTGGTGCATGGGTCGACGCTCAACCACTGGGCCACACCGGCCAGGCGTGAATATTCCATTTTAATTCATACTTGAGAATGAATAAAGTGGAAATTCCTTTCTTAAGGAAAGTCAATGAGACTCTTCCACCTTACTATTAAATGTTGTTAAAATGCTGTTCAAACTCTGTTTTAATATCAATGCCAAAATATTTTCTCAATACTGTGAAATTACAAAAATGTTTATAACATTGTTTTTCCCCCCAACAGCGTATGATTAAAAGTATCACTCCAGAAACGCCAACAGAACTTGCCGGAGGGGACATCCGCTTGAATGCCGTATAAGACGCTTCAAGAGAGGAAAGCGGCTGCCTGGCAACTCCTTTCCCCAGTTCTGACGATCACGTCTCCCCTTCTCCCTCTGAGTGAGTGAGTTTCCAGCTGAGCCCGACAGTGGAAGGGCCTTCTTCATAGAGACAGTGGTACCCAGAGTCATGGCTTCCAGCCTCTTCTTTCTGCGAAGCCTCCGGGACAGAGCACCACGTGAGACTCGGATGCCGCTGAACTGGACTCTCTTGGATGCAGGAGGGTGTGTATGGAGAAGATGAAAACCATCATATAATCACTTAGGATTAGGTCTCCAGTCAAGTCTGTGAATGACTCCTGGATCATTTCTTGTTATGATCACTGGTATTGAGACAGGACAGTAAGAAGCTAGGGGAATTCCTTGACAAGTGGAATAAGGGAAACTGAGACAAAATAATTAAATAAGGCCAAACAATTTGAGCAATTTACAGCCAGCTGGTGAATCACCAGGCTTTATCTTCTCTAACCAAGAACACTTAGGAGCAAATGGTTTACACATTCCAGACCGTCCTGGGACAGACTGGCCTCAGTCCCTGTCCCTCTTCGATGACACTCTTTGAAAATAAAACTAACCAGAAAATTACCCTGACCCTTCTATAGGAACATTTTGATGAATCAATATATTGAAGGACACACCTGGAAAGCTAATGAATATGCTGGTAAGACCCGCCCCCTCAGACCTCCCCTGGGATTCCCACTGGCCAAAGAGATAAAAAGCCTCAAGACAAAGGGCCCGGGCACACTCTCACTGGACCACGCCCACGCCATGTATCTCTGCTCCCTTCCCCTACACTCTGAGGGTTCCCATGAGACTTGCAACCAGGGGAGCAGTGAGCAGCAGCAGCTCAGCCAGGGCTCACCCCCTGAACCTGTCTCCAAGGCCTCCTTTCTCTGACTTCCCAGTGAGCTGACAGCAGCCCCACCTTGGCTCACTTCTGTCACTGTGACTTCTATTTCTTTGTGAGCCAAAGCAAAGCATGCCTGGGTTCTCTGCTGTTGCTTCTTCTTCCTTAAGCCCTTCCTTTGTTTCACTGTCTCCAGCTTTAACAAACGTGCTCTCAAAACCACCCTTATGAGAGAACATATTTGCCATTGATACATCAAATAAGGGGTTAATTTCCAAAATATATAGAGTACTCATACAACTCAACAAAATGAAGACAATCCAATTAAAAAGTGGGCAGAGGGCCCTGGCCGGTTTGGCTCAGCAGTTAGAGTGTTGGCCTGTGGTCCAGAGAGACCCGGGTTCAGTTCCCGCTAAGGGCGCATACCTCGGTTGCAGTTTGCCCCTGGCTCTGGTTGATAGTGTGGGTGGCAGCCACTCGATGTCACGTCAATGTTTCTCTCTCTCTCTCTCTCCCTCCCACTCTATCTGAACAAAAAATGGAAAAATGTTCTCGGGTGAGGATAAAAAAAAAAATGTGGGCAGAGGACCTGAATAAATACTTTGCCAAAGAGACCATACAAATGGCCAACAAACATGAAAAAATGCTCAGCATCACTAATCATCAGAGAGATGCAAATGAAAATGACAATGAAGTAACACCTCACACCTGCCAGAATGGCCGCCTTCAACAAATTAACAAATGACAAGTGTTGACAAGGTGTAGAGAAAAGGGCACCCTAGTACACTGCTGGTGGGACTGCAGACCGGTGCAGCCACTGTGGAAAACAATATGCAGTTTCCTCAAAAAATTAAAAATTGAACTGCCGTTTGACCCAGTGATCCCACTGCTGGAAATACATTCTAAGAAGCCTGAAACACCCATCAGAAAGAATATATGTACCCCCATGTTCATAGCAGCACTATTTACAATAGCTAAGATCTGGAAACAGCCCAAGTGTCCACCAGTAGATGAGTGGATAAAAAAGCTGTGATACATTTACACAGTGGAACACTATGCAGCTGTGAAAAAGAAAGATTTCTGTCCCTGGTCAGTTTGTCTCAGTGGTTAGAGTGTCAGCCAATTGGACCAGAGTTGTGGGTTCAATTCCCAGTCAAGGGCACATACCTCAATTTCAGGTTTGATCCCTGGTCCCAGTTGGGGTCAATAGGAGGCAACCAACTGATATGTCTCTCTCACATCAATGTTTCTCTCTCTCTTCTCTCTCTCTCTCTCCCCCCCCCCATCTTAAAAAATCAATGGAAAAATAGCCTTGGGTGAAAATAAAAAAAAAGAAGGTTCTCTTACCCTTTGAGACAGCATGGATGGACCTAGAGAGTATTATGCTAAACAAAATAAACCAGTCAGAGAAAGATAAGTATCACAAATCTCACTTATATGTGGAATCTAATGAACAAAATAAACTGACAAACAAAATAGATCCAGGGACATGGAAGCAGGGAACAGACTGATGAACCTCAGAGAGAATAAGGGGGCAGGTTGAGGGAAGAGATAACAAAGAACTTATATGCTTATATGCATAACCAATGGACACAGACAATAGCGTGTGAAGCTGGGAGGGTGCGGGAGTGGGGAGGAGGGGGTCAGTGGGGGGAAATGTGGGGACATCTGTAATACTCTCAACAATAAAGATACATTTAAAAAATTACCTAGACTCGTATTGTAAAATCTCTCCTGCACAAAGTCAAGAACCCACATACTACAGCCAGGCAGACCCACTCCAGGCCCAGACCCCATCCGGTGACAGTATCTGACATCAGTTGCTTCTAAAGCTTTCACTGTTCATGGTGCACAAATCGTGTAGGAGAAAACAGGGGTGCTGTCTTGCTAGCCATATACTTTCTGAGCAGCATAGAATTCTATAGCTGGATCTACTAGAGCCCACTAACCCTTGTGTGCTGTGGAGTGAGGAGAGGAGGAAACTATAGGAAACTAAACTGAAAAATACTGTGTACATGTGAGCATGTGTGTCCGTGTGTGCTGTTGTTTCAGTGTATCCTTATGTTCATCCCAATACTTAGGGCCCATTACAAACTATATGAATTTCCTCTAATTTTTCTTACATTAACAAATTCCACCTACTCAAATGTGGATGTAGGTTATTATTTGCAGAGTATAATTACTAAAACATGCTCTGCCACCTTCTCCTTTCCCAGTGATGCTACTTGAGTCCATACACCTTCCTTTATGGGCCAGCCTTTAGCATTTGCTGAACTTTATTGCCATCTCCCTGTCTCTCTCTGTTAAACATTTAGGATGCGTTCCACAGGCAAATCTGGCCTATTTCATTGGTCACTGTGGCTGGACCATCAACTACTTTGAAGATGGATATTGACAAATGCATTTTTGCTGTTCAGTGGCTATCTGATTTAAGCTCTGTGTACTTAAAATGGCTTGATATTGGCCCTGGCCAATATTTTTTAAAAATTAATGGGAGAATGTCCTCAGGTGAGGATTAACAACAAAAACAAAAGACTTAAATTTGACTGTTGAGGTTAGAGTTTAGAGCATCAGCACATGGACCAAAAGGTCACAGGTTCAAGTCCTGGTCAAGGGCACGTACCTGGGTTGCAGGTTTGATCCCCAGCCTGGTTGGGGTCCTGCGGGAGGCAACCAATCGATGAACCTCTCTCACATTGATGTGTCTTTCATTCTCTCTCTCTCTCTCTCTCTCTGTGTGTGTGTGTGTGTGTGTGTGTGTGTGTGTGTCACCCTCCCTCCCTTCCACTCTATCAAAAATCAATGGGCCTGGCCGGTGTGGTTCAGTGGATTGAGACTTGTCCCATGGACTGAGAGGTCCTGTTTCAATTCCCAGTCAGGGCACATGCCCAGGTTGTGGGCTCGATCCCCAGTAGGAGTACAGGAGGCAGCCGATTGATTTTTCTCACGCACATCGATGTTTTCATCTCTCTCTCTCCCTTCCTCTCTCTAAAATATCAATAAAAACATATTTTTAAAAAATTAATGGGAGAATGTCCTCAGGTGAGGATTAACAATAACAACAAAAGACTTGAATTTGACTGTTGAGATGTTTGCTTTGTGAAGAGAGGACAAATCCAGTTCTCACTTATAGGTACATAGATTTGGCATCCTAACCTAAACCAACGTCATCCTCAATCCAAAAGTAATCAGAGTGTCCGGGATAGCCTTCGAATAAATGCCCCCCCCTTGACCCTTCCTAGTTGACTGCCAGAATTGTGAGCCCTCCAGATAATTTTCAAGATTGTTTCTAAGTAAGACTTGATTGGAAAAGGATCAGTTAAATGAACAACCTTTTAAATTCCACATATAGCCCTTAACACAGATCAAATAAATTGACCTTCCGTGGTTGATGACTCTCAGATGCATGGGTAGAGAAGCGAATTTTACCTTGTGCGAGATTTTCTTACCCAGACCTTAAAGGGAATAAAGTCTAGTCAATGATAAAATGACTCAATTGTCTAGCTCCATTTCACTTCAGCCCTATGTATAAATCTAATTTAATGCTAACAGCCTTCTAGAAAGAAGATCCACAGAGCAGAGGCCTGGCTTCATTCACTTAAATTTCTTCCTGCCTCAGCCTCCTCTCGCCCCCTCTTCCCCGCCCATCTCGTATCCCCTACCTTCTTCTATTTCTGAGTCTTTGCTGTTTCCAGCAGGCTGTTTTCCCTTTATTTTTTATTTATTTATTTTTTTTATCCTCACCCGAGGACATTTTTCCATTTTTTGTACAGACAGAGTGGGAGGGAGAGAGAGGAAGAGAGAGAGAGAAACATCGATGTGAAAGGGACACATCGAGTGGCTGCCACCCGCACGACCAACCAGGGCCGGGGACAAACTGCAACCGAGGTACGTGCCCTTAGCGGGAACCGAACCCGGGTCTCTCCGGACCGCAGGCGGGCGCTCTAACCGCTGAGCCAAACCGGCCAGGGCGGCTGTTTTCCCTTTAGATGATAGCAGCTGAGTCTTCCAAAATATCACAGGAAAGAGGAGGGGGAATTAAAAATATTCCATACTGACCTACCTTCATTGTCTTCACTCTGTTATTCCTTCCTGCTACCTTACTTCCGTTCTCTGCTTTCTAGCGTGCTTAAA